ATTATAAGAGTTTTATTTTCTCTCTCCTATATCATCAGATTTTACTCTCTACTAAATCATTCCCCCATACATAAAACATGTGTTAGTACTTCTGTAGCTATTACATAATTTCTCTTCTGCCCTTTATAGGAAAATTCTAGAGTTGGAAATACATGTTACCTTTAACTCTCTCCATGTCCTCTCCTGAGCTTACATTAACCAAGTGTTCTGTCACAACACCAAGATTTTTTTTCAACATCTCTGACAACAACAACATACAAGAGGCTAACACTGGCACCAACGAGATCTATTAAGAGGATGTTGAGCTGTGTTAAAAAATATGGAGTAAATACAGTGACTCAAATACAACTCTAATTTATGGTGCCTATGAGTGAATGATACAGAACTTCTAAAGTTACTATTAGGAAAGACAAATATGATCTAGTAAAACTTCTTGCTTAGAAATCTCTTTTGTCTCTCAATTACTTAAAGAATTTAGCCCAATCTGTTTGCCATAGCAAAAAAAGTGCCTTCACTATCTGTTTCAACTATTCTATTCTATTCTATTCTATTCTATTCTATTCTATTCTATTCTATTCTATTCTATTCTATCCTATCCTATCCTATCCTATCTTGTTCTACTCTATTCTTTTCATTACATCTAATTCCTTTTTTGTATTATGCACATCATGCTCTGGAAATAATCTTTTCACCATTCCTGTCATTTTTGTTGTTTTTCTTTGCAAACTGGCCCACCATTGTACATGTGCATCCCTCTCTTCTAAATCTGATATACTTCTATTTTATAAGAGTTGGTAGGAGAAGAAATCCAAATTAGAGTCAACTTTATGTTTAAATGAGTGGATGGTAATATATTTCATAAAAATGTAACCTTAAAGATAAGAAATATGAGAAATGAATTTGTGTTAGAAACTCTATTGAGTTCAATTTTTACCACATGAATGTAAACATTTAAGATAAAAGCTAAAAAAGAGAGAATGACAGGAGAGAGAGAGAGAGAGGGGGAGGTAGGCAGAGAAAGAGAGGAGAAAAATCTGTAGATATACATTTTGAGCCACCAATGTGTATGTTTATTAAATATTTAATAAAACACTCAGACCTAGTAGAGTCTTTTGGAACTACTCAGGAATACTTAAGATTAAATTGAAGATAAGTAGAGTCCTTTGGAACTACTCAGACCGAGTAGAGTCCTTTGGAACTACTTCTGGTTTCTCAAGAAGTGATATTTTGAAGATTGAGGGAACACACTTGCTCAAGTATTGTAATATTTTGTGAGATTAGCACAGAGGATGTCTTTGATGACTCAATCTGTTTTTGACACCAAATATCTCCCAAGGAAATTCCCACTATGCATGCAATTTAGAATAACTAGAGAGGGAAAAAGAGAGAGAGAGAATACTTAAGATTAAATTG